TGAAATGTATGAGAATTGCGGGTTTGATAATAAAGGGTCAATAAGTGTAGTTAATGAATTAATGGAATCCGTTACAAATTTGGATTTTTCACCCTGGAAGGTTCCAAAAGAACCTCTTCCACCACTTTCTAGCACTCCACCAGTCCCATCGTTAGTCTATCCACCTACTCTTAAGCTTAAAACTTTTCCTCCCGATCTTAAGTACGCCTTTCTAGGCCCGAAAGAGACTCTTCCGGTCATCATCTCTTCAAATCTTGAAAAAGATCAAGAGAATACTCTTTTGAATGTGCTTAAAGAAAATAAAGAAACTATTGGATGGAGTGTGGCGGATCTACAGGGAATTGACCTTTCCATTTGCATGCATCGCATTCTTATAGAAGATGATGCAAAATCTTTTAGAGATGCCCAAATGAGATTAAATCCAAACATGAAAGAAGTGGTTAAGAAAGAAGTTGTTAAGCTCTTAGATGCTGGTATAATCTATCCAATCTCTGATAGCAAATGGGTGAATCCAACTCAAGTAGTTCCCAAGAAATTGGGGATTACGGTGGTTGAAAATTTGAAAGGTGAGGCAATTTCTAAGCGTACCGCCAATTCATGGCGTGTATGCATTAATTACCGTAAATTAAATGCCGCTACTAGAAAAGATCATTTCCCTTTGCGATTTATTGATCAAATTCTAGAGAGATTAGCCGGGCAACAATATTATTGCTTTCTTGATGGCTATTCGGGTTACAATCAAGTAGCCCTAGACCCTTTAGACCAAGAGAAAACCACATTTACTTGTCCTTTTGGCACATTTGCTTATAGACAGATGCCTTTTGGATTGTGCAATGCTTCTGCTATATTCCAAAGGTGTATGATGTCAATTTTCTCAGACATGGTGGAAGAGTATCTAGAGGTATTTGTGGATGATTTTTCGGTCTTTGGATCTTCACTTGAGGCATACCTAAAAAATCTAAATTTGGTGCTTAAAAGATGTCGTGAAACAAACCTTGTTATTAGTTGGGAAAAGAGCCATTTTATGGTTCAAGAAGGTATTGTTTTGGGTCATGTCATCTCAAAAAGGGGAATTGAGGTTGATAAAGGAAAAGTTGAGCTTATTTCTGTATTACCTCCACCTTTTACGGTGCGAGAGGTTAGCTCTTTTTTAGGTCATGCTGACTTCTATCGCCGTTTTATCAAAGACTTTAGCAAAATTGCTAGACCCTTGTGCAATCTTTTTGCCAAGGAAACCCTATTTGCCTTTGATCAAGCATGCTTTGATACTTTTCATAAATTGCGTGACTTATTGTCATCTGCTCCTATTATGCAACCTCCCAATTGGTCATTACCATTTGAAATCATGTGTAATGCCTCTGATTATGACATGAGAGCAGTTTTAGGGCAAAGGGTAGGAAAACTTCCATGCGCCGTATACTATGCAAACAAAACCCTCTCGGAAACTCAATTGAATTACTCCACCACCAAGAAGGAATTACTTGCCGTAGTATATGCCCTTGATAAATTCTGATCTTATCTTTTATGATCCAAAGTTGTTGTCTATTCTGATCATGCTGCTTTGAAGCATCTTTTGACAAAAAAAAAGAAACAAAACCTTATTTGATAAGATGGATTTTGCTTCTTCAGGTTTTTTGTTTTGAAATCAAAGATAAGAAAAACACCGAAAATGTGGTTGCCGATCATCTCTCAAGGTTGGTAGTAGAATCTTCCCCGAGCCCACCAATTCATGATTCATTTCTGGATGAACAACTCTTCCAAGTTTCTAATGGACAAATGCCTTGGTTTACCGACATTGTGAATTTTCTTGCAATTGTCAAACTTCCAACTAATTGGTCAAAGCAAGCAAAGAAGCGTTTCTTTGCTAACATCCAGAATTACTATCGGGAAGATCCTGTCTTGTTTCGATATTGTCCGAATCAAATTGTGAGAAGGTGCATTCCAGATAGTGAAATTCCAAGTGTGCTTGTGTTTTGCCATACCTTTGCATGCGATGGGCATTTTAATGCAAAAAAAAGACTGCTTTGAAGGTGCTTCAAAGTGGGCTATTTTGGCCCATCATCCATAGAGATGCCTACAATTTTTGCAAGGAGTGTGAGAGATGTCAAAAAATTGGATCAATGTCGAGAAGAAACATGATGCCCTTGACAAATATTCTTGTTGTTGAAATCTTTGATATTTGAGGCATTGATTTTATGGGTCCATTTCCTATGTCTTATGGATTTTAATACATTTTGCTTGCCATTGACTATGTTTCTAAGTGGGTGGAGGCTTGTGCTACCAAAACCAATGATTACTCCGTGGTTGTTTAATTCATTAAATCCAACATATTTACTTATTTTGGTATGCCAAGAGCTATAATTAGTGATGGAAGAAAGCATTTTTGCAAGCAATTCTTAAGGCAATTATTTCTTAAGTACTCCGTTACTCATAAAGTCGCCACTCCTTGCCATCCTCAAACAAGTGGGCAAATAGAAGTTTCAAACCGGGAAATTAAACATATTCTTGAAAAAACAGTTAACACGACCTGGAAAGATTGGTCACGCAAGTTGAATGATGCTTTGTGGGCTTACCGAACGATATATAAGACTCCCATTGGCATGTCTCTTTATAGACTTGTTTATGGGAAGCCTTGCCATCTTCCGGTTGAGTTAGAACACAAAGCTATGTGGGCGATTAAAAAACTCAATTTTGACCTTAACAAAGTCGGAGAGAATCGGTTACTCCAATTGAGTGAGTTGAAAGAATTGAGACACAATGCCTATGATAATGCCGAACCTTACAAAGAGAGAACCAAAGCTTTTCATGACAAACACATTGTGAAGAAATGTTTTGAACCTAGTCAAAAAGCTTGGCTTTTCTACTCTAGATTAAAACTCTTTTCTGGGAAGTTGCGGACCAAATGGGAAGGTCCGTATGAGATCATCTCTGTTGCACCTCCTGGGGTGGTTGAAATTCAAAGTTTAAAGAATGGTAACACATTCAAAGTGAATGAGCAAAGGTTGAAACCCTACATTAAGGGACAAGTTTTTTCAACGACATGTGAAAGCTGCCCTTTTGATAGATCCAATCTATGAAGAGATATAGTGCTGCACTCAATGTTCTCAGAAGAAATCCAATTTCCTGCATATTCTTGCATGGTTGATCGATCTCAAAAGAAGTTCGATCGATAGAACAGTCATCTCTGCATCCAATCAGCTCTCTGTTCCATTGTGCGAAATATTCCTGCATATTTCAGCTCTCTGTGTATCGTGCGAATTGTCTTCCTAATCGATCTGAAAATTTATCAATTGATCCAGTTTCTCTTGGATCGATCGAAGTTCTATACTCAGAAAATTTTTAGATTTCTGCATATTTCCTCTCTCTGTGTATCGTTCGAAACTGTCTGCAGAATTTCAGAGTTTGGATCGATCGAAGTTTGATCGATCAGAATCTTCTACAAATAAATAAATAAATAAATTAAAATTAAAAATAAATTAAAATAAATTAAAAAAATAAACAAATTTCCACTTCAAAGCAGCATTCCGTCTTGCTAGAGACGTTAAACTTAGCACCCATACGACACGTTGTGTCTTTTATCTCTTGTATCATACATGTTCATTTTAATTCTTATTTATTTATTTTTCTTCCATTTTGTATATAGTTGCTTTCATAAAATGAAAAATACCAAAATTTGTTTCACCATTGTGCCCTTATTAGTAGTCATGCTACTTTCGTATTTTCTAGGGTTTAATCTCTTATCTCTCTTGTATATTGTGCCATATTGCTTTAGAATGCTTGGTTTGGTTATTTTTATCCCATTTGATATTTGATGTGAGTTTGCTAGTGTGGTTATTCAAATAGGTTGTTGATTCCAAGTTTGGGGAAGACCATTTTCATATTGGATCATTGCTGAGCCTCATGTCTTTGCCACCATGGTATAATCTTTCCATCTTTTCCATTGTTGTCATTGCATATTGAGGACAATGTATGGTTTAAGTTTGGGGGTAAGGTGACTTTGCTGCAATCTACTTAAGTTTGAGACTTAATTGCATGATTAAGATTTGGGATCCATTCAAGCTATGATTTTGATCTTTTGAGGACTGTATTGCTTAAAATTTAAAAATTGCTTGACTTGAGAGTCCAATACTCCTTGTATGCCTTGTGGATGTCATTTAGGAGTAAATTTTTCGAAAGATTGATATCTTGCTTGCATTTGTGGTCCATATCATCCTGATTTTGTGATTGTTTTGAGATTCACTCTAGGATTCTATATTAGCACAGGCGCAGACTATCATTCATTTGTGGGGTACATGCTTTGTTGATTATTGATTTGGTTATATCCCAATTGAGTTAGTAGTGCATTGAAAGCTTTCATCTTGACAAAAGTGGATAACAAACCTTTTTCACTAAGTAGCTGGGATTCTAGCCTCATCAAGTATTGAATTTCTCGTGCCGAAAGGTGGAGGGCCCAAACTCTAGGTTAATAATTGAACTTGCTAAAAAAAAAAAAAAAAAGTTGCAAAAGCAATTAAAAAACGAGGACTTCTCCCAAAAGGTGAGAAGTGGGAAATGATTAGATGGAGGTTGTTTTGATTTGTAACCTAGTTGATTTGAGCTTGTAAGTCCTTATAGGTATTTAAACACCTAGTGTCCTAAAGCCGTCTGGTTTGGGAGTCATTGACCTAACGCTCGATCTCATGGATCGCTACACTCCAACAAATATCATTTTTACCGGCGGTTTATTTACGTATGCTGCTATTAATTAATTATTACCGGTGGTTTAGTAAAAACGCCCTTATTTGTATTTATACCGGTGGTACATTTAAAAGTGATGGGAAATATTAATTATTTCTGGTGGTCTTTTTAAAAGCGCCGAAAAGGATGAATTATTTCCAGCAATTCTTTTTTAAAGCGCTGGAAAATTGAAACTATTTCCTGCAGTCATAAACATTGTGCCGTAAATATTTAATTGTTATTATTTTATTTATCATTATTTTTTCCTAATATAACAGGTTTTGGGTTTAGGTTATGTTTCATATCGTGATTCCTTTCTTCTCTCTTACCCACGACATCAGGTCTTGGTGGTGTGTGAGGTATGGCTCAGGGAAAAGCACAGCGGCTGTGGTCGATTGGTGGTGCGGGTCGTGCGTTGGTGGTCGATTGGTGGTGCATCGGAGGTTTGGACAGTGGTGGTTGAAAGGTTGGGCTCTTGTAAGTTATAAGTACTTTAAACCCTAATTTCCCCTTCTTGTTCTTGTGATGAAAATTTGCCCAAAATCAGACAAAGCTTCTCTCTCATAACCAAAATAATAATCGTAGTGTGGGTACATGGTACTGTTATAAGAAAATATTTTTTTTCAAAGTATAATGATTTACCATAATTACATGATTTTGAGTTTAGAATGAAATCCCAAGGTTTTAATTATCCATGTGAACTTACACCATGTAATTTGATTGACAGTTGATGAACATTTGTTCAGAAAAATAATCTTGTTGAAATCACATATTACATTATAGGTTTCCAATAGAATTAGGATGTTTAGAGGATGCCTTTGTGTGCTTAGTCGTCGTAATATTAATGGTGATGGAGGGATATGGCGTGACCCAATCTTAGACTAAAGTTGTTATTGAAACTCCATCTTTTAATACATAGGGTTTGATTTTGCCTAGGAGCGATGAATTATTGAAGACTGATGAACAATTGTTTGCCAAAGATTTTGGCAAGATTGTTTTATGGAACATAAGAGAGAGGACCAGTAGGAATTTAATACTTCTAGGAATTCGAGATGCAAGTAGATACAAGGTTTTAAGAGTAGGAGGTTATGTGGAGAGCCTCGTATCACTTTTCATGGGTGTTTGAACAAAAGAAAAATTAAAATTAAAAAAAATCAAGTTATGTCTTTTCAGTTATTATTGTAGTTGTTTTTATTTTTTATTCTTTTGGTATGTAATGTAATATAGTTTTCATCCATTCTGAAATGGTTTCATCTCCAGTGAAGGTTTTAACCTCATTGGAATTGATCCTCTCTGTAATTTTCTCAGGTATCCAGAAAGTAGGTAATTGAGGCCCTCTTCCCACATCTGAAAAGGCCGTCTAAAGCATAGATACTACACAATTCACAAGTCAGTGCACAAGGGTACTTATTTTTTTGTAGGATTATGGAGTGTGAGATTAAAAATATAATACATAAGTGAAATCAGGTTGGGTTCTCACTTCTAAGACTATATGGCATTCTTATTGAGGTTTGGAAGTGTCCAGAAGATGATGGTGTGTCTTGACTAATAAAATTGTTTAAACAAATGCATACTAATTTTAGCTTAGTCAAAAAAAATAATCTTACTGATTTAGGTACGGAATGAATAAATAAATAAATCAAAAAAAGAAAGATCTTAGTAATTTATCCATTACCAAACAAAAAAAAAAAAAAAGATTTTATAATTGTGACTTTTATATTGTTCTCAAATGTAGGCTGTTGCAAAGTAATTTAAACTCAGTGAGTCTGAGGTTGAAACACTGGGAAAAGGGAAAATAATAATTTAGTGTTTTGTCCTTGTCCAAGCCCAATCTCCATGGCCCAGATTACAACACTCCAAGAGTAGGGTTCTCAACATTGTTTCTATTATTTTTATATCAAGAATCAAGTTCTGGCTGGAGTATTAATTGTTTCTGGCAAATATGATGTTCATGAACAATTTAATACTTTATGCTCATAAAGCCTGTCTAATGATTGTATGGCGCAATTTGTTAGGTGAAAATATATTCAAATCCAATGTAGTCTAAATTTAATATTGTTTTTTCTTTTTTAGTTACTACATTCCTTTTTGGATAAGTATACTAATTACTATATTCCGTGTCTAAGAATCCTAAATTTGAATATGGTAAATCTAAGACTTGTTTTTTGTTTCATTTTGAATTCTATACTGGGACCAATGCATTATATCCGAAGAACATGTTGTTACCTTATCTGGTTAGTAGTTGAAATATGAGTCCTATTTGGGCAGTTCTAGTTTGTCTGTTGAACCTTCACAGATTGTTATTTTAAACTGATAGTAGTTCATCTGATGCCTCTTGTTGTTGTTGTTGTTGGCTTATTTATTATTATTATTATTTTGGGTGTGTGTGTGGCAATAATGTGTTCCTATTTATTTGGTCCAAAATCGATGGCTTATTTATTATTATACCATTTTACAGTGTGAATGAGTATGGATAGCCTAATGGAGCCGATGAAAAAAATTTCACTAATTATTTGGGCACAATTGCCCGTAATGGTCGCGCAGCTCCCTTGTCTTATAAAAATTGGAGGAAAGTCCCTGAAATAATTAAAGAGGACATGTGGATGACAGTCCGGGTAAAATTATTTTGACTCTTCACATCTTTGAAATATTTGAAATACTCGATTCTTTATTTATTTATCTTTTATGTTTAGGGCAAGTTTGTAGTAGAAGAAATCTCAAAAGATTGGACATTATCATCCATTGGTCATAAATGGAGAGATTGGAAGAGTGAGATAAAGAGTAACTATTATAAAATTTGGTGTACAGATGAACAATGATATGCAAAGCCACCGCCAAGTGTTGAGGAGGACCAATGGGATTATCTCATTAGATATTGGCATACAGATGCAGCACAGGTAATTCATAATGTTATTTAGGTTATTTAATAATATTAGATTTATCATTCCATGTATGTAGGTATATTCCCATCTAATGTGTATTTAGAGAATTGGATAATGCTTTTTTTTTTTTTCAAACGGTAAGGATAATGCTTATTTACAATTGGATAATTAAAAAGGACATGTGAATTGGTGGTTCTGGGTTGCTGTTTGGTTGCTTGATTTGGCTGTTGAAGTAGGTGATTTTTTTTTTTGACATGTCACTAGAATTAGTTTCTAGCATTTTTTTCTAGTATTAGTTTCTAGTATTGTTTCAGTCAAGGAACAGATAAGAGCAAGAAGGATGGCAAGCTAGTGATGAACATGCTGCCAAAATGATTGTAAGTATTTTTTTAGACCATCAATTCTTTATTTCCTAGTTTGATTAAGTGTAAAATATGAGTACTAAAATTTATTATATTTGATGTTTTATATTTTTTTTTTTTTTGTGTTTCCTGATCCATTCTATGTATGCAGACACAACTAGAAGAGCTTGCTAGAAGAGCTTGCTGCAACTCAACCTTCTAACCTAGATGAACCTTCACCCCATGATTTTTATGCCCAAGTTAGGGGAGAAGATAGAAGGGGCCATGTTCGGATGTATGGCTTGGGATATTTTTATTAGCCCTTGACATTTTGAAACAAAACTTATATGTTTTGGGATGCTATTGAATTTTAATGCAATTTTGTTCTATGTTACATATTAAATTTAAGTTGTTAGATGTATTCTGATTGGTAAATTATATTTGATTTCATTGAATAGGGAACAAAATAAAATATTTTACTAATATGTAAATTAAACCAGAAAATAATATTTTTTTTTAAAAAAAAAATTAACACATTACCGGTGGTTTAAAATGCTCCTGAAAGTAAAAAATTCTACATTACCGGCGCTTCAAAGTGCCGGCGTATACTTTATACATCGGCGGTTTAAAACGCCCCCGAATTCTACATTACCGACGCTTCAAACTGCCAGTGTATATTGTTAAAATGACAGTTTACTATAATATATCGGCGGATAAAACTGCCGTTACTTAAACTTTCACCGGCGGTTATATGCATCCGCCGGTAATTATTACAACCCCGGCGGTTTTTTAAAAACCGCCGGTGAAATCTAGCGGCGGTGCTTATACCGGCGGTTACACCAAACCGTCGCTAAAGGAATTACCGGCGTTTTATGTATATTATAGTGGCAGTTTCGACCGCCGCTGAAAACTTTATTTGTTGTAGTGCTAGAAAGCTTAATAGATCACTACATTGAACCATGCTTCCATCTTTGATCCTCTAGGTTAGTAAAAAAAATCGAGTGAAAAGAATAAGCGCACCTAGATGAATAAAGCTTTAATAAAAGGTCCACTCTTTATTTTGATGATCGGGACTAGATTTGTGTGCTAATTTGAGGGTAAGGATGTGATCATTTCTTTAGTTGGCTTAGATAGCAACATATTTGATGCCGGTCCACTCAAAAGAATTCTAAAGTTGTTTTGATTTGCATGATCATCGTCTTAATGTGTGGATGACCGTATTTGCTTGCTTGATGTTGAGATTTTGGGAGATTGCTTAGAAATGGTTGAAAAATTGCATACTTGAGGTAGTTTTCTCGCAATGTTTGTTTGCAATATTGGTACCTCTTTAATGAGAATGAGCTTAATGTTTGTGGGTATCATTTCTGGAAACCCTCACGAGACTTCACTCATCCACTGGGGGTAACTTAGGGATTTAAAAGGCTTGTTGCATACGCTAAATGCAATCGTGTTCCCTACGAAAGTGGCGTTATCCTTTTATTGCTTTTTAGTTCATAGTTGTATAGTTGTTCATTTCATTCATTTACTTTATAGTTCATTGTTAGGGACTAGCAATATTTAAGTTTGGGGGTGTGATGAGCGCTGAAAAGTGCGCATTTAAACCCCTTAAGCTTGAGTATTCTAGGACCTTTATCTATCTTATTTTCCCGTTTTAAATTAATTTCATGTTATTACCCTTTTCAGGTGCTTATCCTCAAAATAAGTCAATTCAGCTAAATTAGAGCATAAAAGAAGCTATCTCAAGCTGAATGGAAGAAAGGAGCAAAGTAGAAGCAAAGTGGAGGAAATCAGCAAGCTTCGATCGATCAGACATATTTTCTATCGATCTCACAGTGATCGATCAAGCCTTGCCAAGATGGATCAAACCCCTTGTCCTTATCCTCAAGAATTTCCATCTTCGATTGATCCAACTTTCTTTCAGATCGATCGAACTTTTTTAATCTTATCCCCACCTACCATTTTTGTCTTTTTCCCAAAATATCCAAAAAATATCTCAGATTTGTCTCTTTCCAAAAAAGCGCCGCCAATGATTGATCGATCTGGTCATAATTCAATGGATCTAGCCACAGTTTGATCGATCTCATCTGAACTCAATCAACCGAACCTCCTCAAATCCGAAATAAAATAGAGTCCAGCTCATTAAAAGATGGCTCATGGTGCAATCATTCAAAGTGCCCTAGTGCACGAGACTTGACCATTGGGTGTGACACTTGAGCTACCTATAAATGGATTTTGAGCCATTTTTATAAAAATGAGCAATATACAACTTTAGACATTTTTTATACACTCTTGGAATGGAGGCTAGAGATTAGAGAGACATACACCATTCAAGAGTTCTTCCATTCATCTAAGGTTTCCATCAAGGAGAAGATACTTCCTACCATGGAGATGGCCCTTGAGGGTTAGATGACTACATCAATGAGTGGCTAAACATCTTCTTTGGGTTAGAGTTAGCCCTAAGCATGCCTTCTAGACCTTGATGTTTTGTATTTTGAGGGGATTTGTGTTGTAATCTTGTCTTGACATTTGATTTATATATGAATCTTGTTTTTACAATGATTTGTGTTGCTTAATACTTCCAAGTGATCAATTCATTCTATTCATTTGTCTATTTATGCTAAAATAGATGTTCATGTGTTTATTTCTAAGTTTTGTGTTATTAATACATGTCTATGTGTGTTGATGCTATGAATTTAGATATTGTTAAGACATAGTGCTTAAATAGAAGACTCTTGTGGTTTATGTAACGGCACACCCGCCCACAGGGTTATCACAGTTTATTTGATGGTTCATACTCATTTATTGATGGATTGTACCTCTACCTTAGTTTAGTTAGTTTAATTTTCATGTCCCTAGCTTAGTTGTAGTGTAGTTGCCTTATTTTCCTAGATAAGAGGCCAATCCATGCTTGTTGTTTAATGTTCCATGCTTGCGAATGCAAGTACTATAATTCTCTAATTTGTTAATGTGTTCATTGTGAGCTTAAAGGAAGGATTAATAGCTTAATTTAATAATTGTGCTATTCACTAGGTTGTCTAGATAATGTATACTTAATTAATCATTCATACTTGTTGATTCAATCATTCACACCTCTTTGTATTGCAACACATGTTTCCCGTCATTCATTACACATTGAGTGTCTAAAAATGTGATGTTTAGTGGTGACCTCTAAATCCCAAGACCTCTCATTCTTGTTTTCTACCCTTTATTTATTTTAATTGCTTTGTACTGAATTTGTTTACATTGTAGCTTAATTAACCAACCAAACAACCTTTTGATCATTCGACCTACTAGTCCGACCTTGTTTTCATTTCAAACATTGCCCCTAATCCCTTGGGACGATCCATACATTCCCAAGCTATGTCAGTAGTTAGAGGTAGTAGTGGCACTTTATAAATTTAAGCTTGGCCACACTTTTCATTGCAATTTGGGTGTTGCGATGACCACGTACCAGCACCAACCTCCATCACTTCATTTTCATCTTCATTCATGTTGGTGTTAATTTGAGTCAATGATTGTGGTTCCATCTAATTTTCTAGCAACCAAACACAAAGCAAAAATTATAACTCAGGACATAGTATATCCTATATGCACAACAGTAAACAATAAACAGTCTGCAATCTAGTCAAATAATAGAATGCCGCCAAAATTTATTGAAAAATGAAAATAATCTACTACGTCTCAAACATTCTCTATCGACTTGTAATAACCCGAATTTCTATTTAGGATTTGGGAGTTGCCAGTGTGATTAACTTGTTAGTGGTTGAATTTTTTATAAGCAAATTATATTTTTCAAACTTTCGTAAGAAGCTTTTTTTTTCATGAGATTTGAGGGAGAATTTGGTGGTGGGCTAATCATTTATTAAGGATAGGTATGAATTGTTTGGGTGCACATAATACATTTTACATGGTGATAAAGTTAGTATAAGTAAGGAAATTAATAATATATTTAATGTGATGATTATATATCTATATATTGTAATGCTTCTGGGAAAAGCTTTGACCCACCTTTAGTATATTACATATATATCAAGTATAAATAGGAAACCAAATAGGTAAGAGGTTTGGCCAGAATAGGAGCAGAGAAATCATAGAAATAAGAGAAAGAAAGGAAAATGGGGTGTCCGACCGTGGAGGGAAGGAATAATACATTGAATTTTTGGGCGTTACACTACTAATCAATAGATCAACCCCAACACAAACCCACTTACAGATCTAATATTATTCACATTATGCCTATTTTCATGTGTGTGTTTATATATATATTTACACACACACACACACAAACCCATCTACTGATCTAAACAACCATCAAACCCTAAAAATCAATATCAAGAAATTACAAATTTCAAAACCTAAAACGAACAAAAAATAAGTAATTTCAACCATAAAATACATCAATATTGAAAAATATCTCTTAAATATGTTCAGATCTGCTCCAATATGTACATATCTTATATTTTTTTTTTTCCTGAATGGTGTTTTTTTGTTTTATATATAAAAAAGATGTTGTACAATTACAAATAGGAGATTAAAACCTCCAATAAAACAAAACAATAATGGACTAAATCCATTAGCCAATCACAACAAACAAAAATTAAAAAGATAAAAATTCCAGCCCATTTAGAACATAACAGACCAATTGATGCACTTGAAATTTCTTGTGATAAAGCATACTAAGAGCATAAGTCTTGTCAATCCAATCCAAAAAACGGCCAACCTGAGCACATAACCAATTGCACAGCTCTGCAACTTGAGTGCCACTATAATGAAAAAACAGTTATCAGATCCTGTAGTGTAATACTAAGATATGCAAGCACATCCCAAACTATGGCTTGAACCACATATTCAGCATCATCCTTGAATCCATTATACAGAGCTGAATTTCTCATAATCCAAATCTTCCATGTTGTAGCCGCAAAAAGTGCACACAAAAACTTAGATTTGGTATTGTGTGCACTAGTTTGTATCACAAACCAATCTATAATGTCAGTTTAAGAATTAAGTCTCGGCCACTGTAACTGCAGCAGGTTGAACAAGCTAATCCAAATTTCCTTGGCATACACACACTTGAATATGTACATATCTTATAAAATACCTTCAATAACTTTGAAGACTGATGAAAGAGTTGTTTGGAAGTCGAAGAGAGAAAGAGAGAGAACGCTCTGATAGGAGAGTTGTTGAGTTATAATAACAGAAATTGATGTAGTCAGTGTGTCGTTTAAAACTTTTAGCACCGTAATTTAAGCAAGAAGTAAGTGATGAATAGTGTACTTTTTTTAGCTCCGCCTTTTTTTGAAGAAATACAAATCACAAAACCAAAGCTTCATTTGAAGCTTTGAAAATTGTACCAAAAACGAAATGAAATGGGTTTGACTTTTGGCTTTTTTCGATAAGGCCCAAAATTATAATTGGTGTTACCAAACAGCTATGGGTTGCGGTTTCCAAAATTTTAAATACCAAATTGCAAAA